CCCTGCAGAATGTAGGTAAAATTTTTCTCCGGTACGAGAAACGGCTAATCCGATGTATTTTGAGCCGCTGAGTCCGAAAATGACCTCCGTTTTTTCCCATCACCCTCCAGTTTTTCGGAAAAGCGACTTTTCCCCCGGAAAATGAGCAAATATGAAGTATATTTGTCATGCATGCAATTTATTTGTATAAATTTTTCTGGACCCGTGGTACAGTCATTCTTAAGTATTTTAAGCCGCTGAATCCGAATATGACCTCAGTTTTTTCCCATCAACCCCCAATTTTCCGGTAAAGTCGATTTTTCCGCGCCTAAATTTGTGTATAAGCTTTCTCGGACTCAAAGGGGATCAAAAATATATTTTAAACGTGTCCGCGACGTGCGATACATCGATTCTTATGTATTTTGACTCGCTGAACCCGAATATGGTCTTGGATTTTTCCGATCACCCACGATTTTCCCGGAAAATCGATTTTCCTTGGAAAACTACCTTTTTCGGTGTTTTTTGGACGATTTTCCTGTTGTGAGGAGTCTACGAAATTTTCTGAGATCCTCTCTAGGTCTCTTCTGCTATATTAAGAGCGGCTGAATCCAAATTTGACCTCTATTCATCTCTGACAACCCCCCGTTTTCTAGAAAGTCCGATTTTTCAAGGAAAAAAGCTTTTCCGAACCGTCCCCACCTCCAGGGAAATTTGAAAATTTTTCCGCACGTGTGATACATCGATTCTTATGTAATTTGAGCTGGAAAACCCGAATATGACCTTAGAAATTCGTTATCACCCACCATTTTCCTATTTCCACCAAGTTCCTATTATTATGTTTTATTTCCTACCATTTGTTTGTTTTCAATCCTCCTATAAATACTACTCATTTGCTGAATACACTTGTGGCTGGAGCGCACTTAAGCTATGCATTCACGACTGCAAAAATTTTGAAGGAAATGGAAAAAGCCAGCTTGTATAAAGGCGATTTCAATTGTAATCTCCCGTCGCATTTCTAAGGCTCAATGATACAACTATTTGAACTCTCCGGAATGCGTGAGGTATCAGGCTGCGTTTGAAAGCGTTTTCAAAACAGCCAAGTTCCGATACCCGGATTATCGTTTTGCATAGTTCAAAATATTTTGTTTTCATTTCTAACCACTTGTTTAAATATAATCCTCCGATAAAAATTACCAATTTGCTGAAGACAATTTTAGCTGAAGCGCACTAAAGCTATGCATTCATGACTGCAAAAGTGTCAAAGGAAATCGAAAAGGCCAGCGTGAATGAAGGGTTTTTCAAGTGTAATCTTCCGTCGCATTTCTAAGGCGCAATGATACAACTATTTGAACTCTCCGGAATGCATGAGGTATCACGCCGCATTTGAAGGCGTTTTCAAAACAGCCAAGGTCCGATTCCTGGATTATCGTTTTGCGTAGTTCATATTCTTTTCTTTTATTCCGAAAAACTTGTTTATTTTTAATCCTCCTATCAAAACCACCCATTTGCGAAATAGAATTCTAGATAGAGCGCACTTCAGCTATGCATTCACGACTGCAAAATTGTTAACGGAAATCGAAAAGGCCAGCGTGAATGAAGGCTTTTTCAAGTGTAATCCTCCGTCGCATTTCTAAGGCGCAATGATACATCTATTTGAACTCTCCGGAATGCATGAGGTATCACGCCGCATTTGAAGGCGTTTTAAAAACAGCCAAGTTCCGATACCCGGATTATCGTTTTGCAAAGTTCCTATTATTATGTTTTATTTCCTACCATTTGTTTGTTTTCAATCCTCCTATAAATACTACTCATTTGCTGAATACACTTGTGGCTGGAGCGCACTTCAGCTATGCATTCACCAGCGCAAAAATGTCAAAGGAAATCGAAAAGGCCAGCTTGTATGAGGGCGATTTCAATTGTAATCTTCCGTCGCAGTTCTAAGGCGCAATGATACAACTATTTGAACTCTCCGGAATGCGTGAGGTATCACGCCGCGTTTGAAGGCGTTTTCAAACCAGCCATGTTCAGATACCCGGATTATCGTTTTGCATAGTTCATATTCTTTTGTTTTATTCCGTAACACTTGTTTATATTTGGAAGTTGTCATGGAATTTGACAAAACTGAGATATATCAGTTTCCAATTTTCCGTATTTTACATGCCATTAAATGTATTCATATCAATATTTTCTGGAAAATAGGTTGAAGTAATCGGAATAAGTTCGTATATATATGAACATATGTATACGTGGATGCAAATACTAAACAAATGTACTATTTTTTAGAGCGAGCTGGCATCATGTGATACTTAAAAATGAATTTTACCATTTCTTTTCATCATTTTTATTCGTATCTATTTATGTCTGTGCACAATGTCTTGAAAATTGGAGGTGAATTTGTGAACCCTGAATCAAAGTCAAATGAAAGCCCAAGAACACCTGCGAAATGGCCAAATTTTCCTAGAAAATCGTGATTTCCGTCCGAACGGGCATCATCGGGCGGATGAACCGTCGATTTTCTGAAAGTACACATACCACTGAATAAATCCACGTGCACAAAAGTTCGGTGTTAGACGGTGCTTTTTTTTGGCACTCCATGAAAGTGGTAAAAAGGGTTAAAAATGAGCAGTATTTCAAAATGCAATATTCGCCACAAAAAAGAAGGATTTAAAAATTGGAAAAACCAAAAATAAATACAGCTTACCAGTAGGGATGAAGCTGCCAGGAAGTAAAACCTAGAAGTGATGAGAAATAAAATTAGAAAAATTAAATTAGCTCTCGTTTAAAAAAAATATATATTTTTTATGTTCTTTAAGGTTTAAAACCCCTTTATGAAAAATAACGAAATATGGCAACACAGCAACGTTGAACTATTTTCTCTCTCGGTAAATTGATGTTTTGAAAATAAGTACTTGTTGAATTTTTTTCGGTGCAAACTTGAGCTTGATATCCTATTTTTTTCGGGGAGTTATCCAGCTGAAAGGGTTACATCCGATTTCCCTTCAAAACGGGGCCCAAAACCCCCCTCAAAAGCTTCTCCTCAAAAACTTCTGTTTGTCGCAAGATAGTACGTACCAAGAAGAGCAACTCACCAAATTTTTATGAAATTTCAACGATTTTTACCGGAGATATCGATTTTTGACATTCGTCCCCTAGTAATCAACGCACTGTGGGTCGCCCCCCTGACCCCTAAGAAGTCAAAGCCGGGGGTCGCCCCCCTGACCCCTAAGGAGCCAAAGCCGGGGGCCGCCCCCCTGACCCCTAAGAAGTCAAAGCCGGGGGTCGCCCCCCTGACCCCTAAGAAGTCAAAGCTGGGTGTCGCCCCCCTGACCCCTATGGAGCCAAAGCCGGGGGGTCGCTCCCCTGACCCCTAAGAAGCCAAAGCCGGGGGTCACCCCCCTGACCTCTAAGGAGCCAAAGCCGGGGGCCAAACGTAGACTAAAGGCCAAAAGGCTAAACGTAGGCCAAACTAAAGTCAATTGTACAACTACCACAGAGGAAAAATAGACCTTGTTCAGAAAATGAGTAATCAAGCAACTACTCCTCATTTACTTTCATTTTACTCATTTTACCTCATTTATTTTCTTTAACTACTAATGACAATAAACTCCGTAAAATTTAAAAATTCCATTAGATCGTCTCAATTTTACCTGAATTTATGGTCCTAGAGTCATTTTGAGTGACGCAGGTTATGTACGCGGGAAAATCAGACCTCTAATTGGCTAGCACTGAGTGGTGGTAAAGCAGACAGTTCAGAATGAACTAGGTTCAGGAATAGAGATTAGAGCCACGATGAAGAGGAAGTTGAGTAAAAAGAGATTTCGAGCTGGACTAATTGTAGCTATATTACTCCTGTCTATAACTGAAAGTAAAGGGAAAAAATTTGGTTTGAGAAAATATACGGGTTAAAATTTACTTTTTAACACTGAGACTTGTGTAATAAGGAAACTTCCTTTTCTCAGTTTCAACTTGATGTCATTGGTTGCCCAGGTCCTTTCTGCTCAAGTCATTTGAGCGACATACCTACTGATAGCCAATATCGAGCAGTGCAAATCGTTCATCTTTTGCGACAGTGCTTACTTCCACGAATATTTCAGTACTTTTTGAGGAAAAAAAATAAATTTTTGGTCTGTGTAATTTCTTCTGCTTCTCATGATTTCAAGCGTCAAAGAGATTTAGTTTCTTTTAAAAAGGGAAAAATGACAGACATTATTTTAAAACCTCAGAATACCTATTTTAAAACCATTTCATCCCAAAATTTTAGTGCATGTAACTCCTGCTGATTTTTCTTGAGCGTCATACTGATGATCATTCTTAGATCCTGACAGGCAGACCCTTTCAATGATTGTACCTAACTCTTGTGTTTTAAGGGACATTTAGTGAGATAGAAAAAGTCTCTTCGAATTGAAAGTAATTGGAAAATCATATCTCTCAGTTTGCCATGGTTCAAATTTGTCTACTGAGTATTATTTCGATGGAAAAAAACCGGTGATTATGGTTTGATGAATTTGGCTGTGTATATTGTTGAAAATATTCTTCGATATTTATGTTTTATGCTTATAGGTCAATTGGCGAAATTTTCAAAAAATCGAGAGGAATTTTTGTCAGCCTCAATTTTGGCTCAAAATTACCTTGCAAGTATGCAACTGTCTGAACTAAGTAACTTTGTAACTGAGAATGACCTATGTAGTGCACATATGCGTTCCTTAAATGCATAATAAAGCTATTAGCAACTTATTATTTTAGATCCTGAGGATAATTTCATGTAGAGGACTTAAACTCTGGTTTTTCCATCCAACTAGACAAGAATTACCTAAGAAATTTTTCTCACTGCATTAAATTCCTTTTTCCCATGGATTTGGATTTTGGAAGAAAATTTTTCCCAAGATTCCATGGTTTTCTTGTTTTTGTGGTGCCTTGAACAATATTTGCTGAACTATGCAAGTTTATTTCAGAGGTCACGACTGAGAACCTATATACCATATTTCTTTTTCATTTGAGGGATATCAAGGATAAGACACGTATCAAAACATGAGGGTTTAATGATATAAATATCATCTACATCCTAAAACAACAATTATAATCATAGGTTCTTTTTTGTGAATTTTATACAATGTAGGTACAATCATCAAAATTAACAAACTGTTTTAAAAATAGGATGAGGAAGGAATTGATAGGAGTATATACTAGTAAAGGGAAAAAAGATTCCAGATTAAAAATTATGGAATGCATGTCTAGATACGTATTCACATTGTTTCAAATGCCTTCAGTAAATAAAAACTGAAAATTAGTTACGCCTCAATCAATGTGAGATTACAGTGGCTTGAAAAAAACAAAAAACAAAAAAAGTATAAAATACTGTTGGTTTGTTCTGAACATGAATTATAATTTTAAAGAGGAGAAACTGAGAAAACTAAGTTTGATGAATTATTGAATATGTAAGAAACTAGGATAAAAATCAACAAAAAACCTAAAAACGTAAGACAGTATCACAACTTTAGGTCAGGGATATTTATGTCTCTACCTAAAATTTCCGGAAGTTTTCCTTCAGAATTTTTTCGCAGAACATTTTTTGTGAAAATTATATTTTTGGTATGGTATCCGCCGGGTAAGTTGATGAAGTGAGGACCATTCCCAACCGTTTAAAGAGCAAATGCATTCCGTAGGATCATCAATACATTCTCTTACAAAGCTATTGGGACTCTTTTGAGATGAACCTTACTTTCTTTATGGTAAAGACACAATAAAAAGAAAGAAGCACCATGGCCACTGAATAGCTCATACAAATTAGAATTCACGTTGAGATGTTACGTGACATTTTGGTAGAAAAGCCTTCATAGCTGCCAACATTTCGGTCAAGAACAGCAAATGGACCATCAGCTAAAATTTGATTCGTTTTATTTGTAAATGTATTTCTTTGAGTGGCTTCGCAAAATCAAATAAATTCACCAAAAATTGTTGCATCCTCTTCAAAAACTCTCCTTTGATTCTTAATCTCATTTTAAACAGATGATGGCTGCCTATTGACATTGAAACTATCAAACATTGTATCGCATTTGCGGTGTTCCACAATCTCTCCACTCATTTTATTTTTTTGAAGAAGCATTAATCGATATCATTCCTTGAAGTTTTCACAGAATTTCTTTCGCTCAGTGAAAGAAAATCACAGAAAATTGCAAGAATTGATGTCGAGTACGTTTCCATTTAAAAAAAAAAAAATATGAACGGAAGTTAAAAGCGTTGCAAACTGAGACATTTGATTTGGGAGTTTCACAGTCGATATGTGCTTTTTTCTGACATAAAAGTTAGAAGAACATTTCTGAGTATTTCTCAAGGGGATAGGGAAACTATTTTTGGTACTTGTCTCTGATTTTACAGATTTATAAACCTCACCATTTGAAAAACTTCCGGAATATTTTTTAAATAATAGTTTTTACAAACAATTTTTACACACTTAGGGAACTAAATTTGAAACTGTACAACCTAAGTTTCACCTGAAAATACAGAAAAAAAGAGAGAGAGAAAAAAAAAAAAACATTGACAAACCTACATAACAGATTAAAGAATCGATGTTCATATTTATCCCAAAGAAATATTCTAAAAAGACAAAACGAGGTAAATGAAAAAAATATCTTACAAGGTTAAGTTGGGATACTTCTTTTGAGAAGACTTCTCGAATTTTTCACGAGAAGTTAAGAACATTTGTGAAACTTGATGATTAAGAGCTCACTGCATTGGCTATGCTTTCTGCACGTATCTTGTAAAAAAAAACCTTAAAGGATGACTATGGTTTCATCACACTTGCATTTCACTTTTTATTTGGCATTACACCTGATTGCATTGCATAGATTTTGGTGAATCTTCTGATATAACTTCCAATTTTACGTTATAATTCCAACAAATGTGGTATGAATGTAAAGATAATGTAAATTTGATAGCCATATCTCGTTGAATGCTCTGATGTTTATCAAACAGGCGATATTTTGGTGCTGACGACAAGTTCAAAAAACAATGATTATGACTTGGATTAAAAGTCAGCCAGAACGCTAAAGAATTCCTTTCTGAAGTTGTTATGATGAAGAAGATGTCTTGAAGTTGTTAGATTTTCAAAGCTGTTGAGTTTAATTGTCTTTCTTCATGCGGTTGCTTGTCATTCGGTAAATAATTGAATCTCGGCCTGGATCCATTTCGATGATGGAAACTGAAAAAAATCACAGAGGTACATTTTTAAAGAAATTTAAAATTTACCAAAATATTGACGAATGAAGAAAATGATTTAAAATTGACGACCAAACGAGTTACAAATTTGAGCATTCTAATGAGTATTTTCTTTACAAAATTTCTTAGAGGACAAAATTCATGCAATGAAAATTACTGTTACTAACTCCTTACCAAACTTTTAATGTTTTTACTAAGCACAATCTGAATTTCTTGCTTACAAAAAAATCAGAGTTTACGTCGCAAACTAAAAGGGTTTTGGCAAGCTTCTCAAAAAGCAGTATTTCTTCCTCACCCCGTGTTCTCCAAAGTGTAAACAGCGCATGATAGCTCAGCTAAAGAGCCGAGAATGCTGTTGTCATCATTTCATACCGCAGAAACTGTCACAATTAGAATTGCACACTGTCGTGTGCAATTCAACTCAGGTAGATTATGGTTCTTTTTATGTGGGGAAAGTTTAAATTGAAAAAATTGAAAAACATTTATGTCTTAGTTAAGAGATATTTTCTATCATTTTTATTGCTTGACTGGTGTTCAAATTTTGATGAGGAAAAATGTTATAATGTTTAAGGTTGTTCATTAGCAATATGAGTATGAAAGGTATTTCACAAATGATCAAAGCTGAGGAGAATAATTGATTAGTCAGGACATTGGTTGTTATTAAGGTGATTCGATGGTTGCCATTTTTTGTGTCAGAGCAACGTGCGATATATCGCATCAATTTGTTCCATAATTTCGGCTACTTGTCATTTTTTTCGAATTTTGAGATCGCACATCTGGACGTATTTCTATCAAACGGAACTATGTGCATTAAGATATGACCCCTGAAACTCATAAGAATATGTACATAACAGGGCTCACGTCATAATGCACATGGTTCCGTTTGATAGAATTACGTCCATCTTTTGTCGTGAAACTAAAGGATTCATGCACTTAAATTGACAAAGAAATTAAAAGTATTTAAGGCAGGGTTTTTTTAGAGGAAAAATATCAGATTTGAGTGCAGTTTCGATATCAGTATCGAATGCGATATTTTTCCTCTGAAAAAACCCTGCCTTTAATACGTTGAATTTCTTTGTCAAATTTAGTACATGAATTCTTTAGTCTCATGACAACAGACGTGCGATCTCAAAATTCGAAAAAAATGACAAGTAGCCCAAATTATGGAATGAATTGATGCGATATATCGCTTGTCACTCTAACTTGAAAAATGGCAACCGTCGAATCACCTTAACAATGTAAATGCACATGAGACAAGAATATCATTTGATCTTTAAAACTAATTATTGCACTGGTGAGAGAAAAATTACTTAGGGATGTCCAGTAGATTAGTTATATTGTCCATAGAACAGGGGTCATTTATTTAAATTCACCGCTTCACAGACGAAAAATTAGATTCCATAAGTGTGACAAATTCACTGAATTTTTCTTGTAAGAATGTGACTTTCTAGAGGAAATAGGACCTCCATCCATAAAATATTATAAAAAATAAGTAATTGATACAAGAGCATTTTCGATCTCGCAATAACAAACCGACAACACATTTTTGCTTCCTTTTTTCCGGTTGAAAATTAGGTTGTAACAAGCTCAAAATGTTCTAGTTATTTAAAATTTCATCTGCTAAATTTTGCAGCAACCTTTTCCTGAATTGAATTGTTATTTTAAGAGCATGAACGCTTGTTAGGCGTACATTTTGGGACAATACATGTCCTGACTAGAATTGCTGATAAATATTCAGTTGGAATTCAAAAAATGTAGTTAGGAGAAAATTCGTGTAAAATTTTGATCTGCCCTGTTCACTGGCACAAAATACCAGATTATAACGCAACTTCATGCCCTCTGATGGCACAAAAACGAACTTCATTGCTGGCAACTTTTTCTTAAAAATACAAGAGAGAGTTTTTCGTTGAAATCTCAAAAGATTATTTCTAAACCTAACATGATAAAAACTGCATTTCTGGGAATGTTTCCTCTGACGACCAAGATCCTTTATCTCGCAGACAGTCACATTATTTAAATAATAATATACAATTTCCTAGAGTTGATCTGTAAGCTTCAACCACCAAAATACAAGTCTACGAATAGTGCAAATGGACACACTTAAACGAGAGAAGTGTAACAATGTTGAAACATTTGAATAAGACACGTGTGTGAAAGTTTAGGCCTAACAAATGTTACATAAGAATGTCTCCAGAATTGGAATAGGATGAGAACAACCCTTGACAACAGGGAATGAAGAGCAAAAATTAATCCAGGGAAGGCTGCTGTAAAATTTAAAAGATCAAAGACAAAAAAAAATTAAAGGGAAGAACCAGGATGTTTCAAGATAGTTACAAACCAATTTTTGACTGAAAAAAGAACACTGTCAAAACTTCATCACTACATGCTTTGATTTTGCGGCACTACGCCAGGTTTATTTCTTTAAAAAAAAACACAAAGATAAAACACACTCACTTGCGTAAAATTGTATAAAATAATAACCGGGACGCGTTTCGGGAGCTTAGCTCCCATCCTCAGCCGCGACTGAAGGTGTTNTACAATTTTACGCAAGTGAGTGTGTTTTATCTTTGTGTTTTTAAATAATTTTTTAAAGAATTTCAACTTGTGTAGTCCCCTAACGGTATTAAAAGCAGGTTTATTTACTTGGTGATCAGTCTCGGTTTTGCAACAGCAAATCGATAGCTCATTTTTCTTATTTTTCTCCAGTTGAAAATGAGTTTTCAACTATCTTGAAACATCCAAGTTGTTTTCCTTAATTTTTTGTCTTTCATCCTTTATATTTTGCAGCAGCCTTTCACTGGATTAAATTATTATTTTACAGTGCTTTGTCGCTGCTCAAGGATCACAATTATCGTTGGTCCTAGAAAAACCCTTTTCTCAGGAAGCCCTAAATAGTTGAATAATGTGATTAAGGAGGCTTTGAAGGGAAGATTCATAAAAGCATATAATTTTTATCATTAAAAGAACCATTTTTGCAACCCTTTGGTAAAATTCAGTAGTGGAACTCTGGGAATGGATCCTTAAGAGGGATTACAATAATTTGCCATCACAAAAAGTGCAAAATCCAAGAAAAAATTCAATGATTTTAACAAATTTTGAGGTAGGTACCAGGTACCAACTTACCTATAAAATTACAAAACTCAAAATAAGTCTTCTTATGTATTTTGTACTTTCTGTAGCGAACAAATCATAATTTTTCCTCGTCAGAATTCATTTCAAAAGTTTAACTTCTGAATTTTACTCCTGGTCTGCAAAAATTGTTCTTTATATGATAATATGTTGAATATATCCTCGAGCTCTCCTTAATCACGATGTTAATAATGTGGGGTCTCCTCTGCTGTGCTAAGTAAGAATGTCGTATGAGCTCCACAAATTACGAATTTTCAGAGAGATTTGTTAATATTCCTCCTCTGATTTTTCAAGATCTTAAAAGTTTGAAAATTTCAAGGAAAAATATTCCTACCTTTCTTCAAAAGTAAATACTCTCAAAGAGAAAATTTGACAACATTCAAATGCTTATACGGCGTTTTTACTAAGCATGGCAGTCTTAAGAAAAGGAGAACCTTGAAGAGCAACTATGAATATGGCCCTAAGTTGTTATTTATTCTTGGCCTTCGACAGCTAATGGCAGAATGAGTAGAGATGGATACTGGTACTTACTTGCAACAGCAATTAGCGAGAAAATGAATGCTAAGGAAAGCCACAAAAAGATGTTGAATATTGCTGGAAAATCGTCACTGTAATCATCTTCTCCTAGGTCCTGAGAAAATACAATCAACACATAAAATAAACAACAATTAAAATGAATAAATAAATATAGAAAGGCTCAAACATGCTGAAAACGCGAGAAGTTTGTATTTTTTTCCGAGACTGAGCTAAATTATTGAAAGCGCTAAAGACTTAATTTTTCTGGAGCAGGACCGATAATGGACTTTTAGACAGGGCATAAAAACAAGAAACAGAATATACATTCCCCTATCAAAATTTTACGTAAAATACGATGGACACACTAAATTTTTTCAAATTCAATGGAAAATTCAGAGAACAACAATTTTTGTTTACTTTAATTCATACTTCCCATTCACAGAAAACTGGAGTCTACTCAATTCAAGACAAGCACTAAAATAATCTTGGTGTATTTTATGATGTGAAAGTTTTCCTTTTCACTAACTTTCTTCCTTTTTTTTGGCCTTAAATAAAGTTGGCGACTTGGAATCAAAAAACGCTTTCCATCGGTTGGGCACATACATAATAGCCAACTAGAAAGCTTTGGAAAGGAGGATGAAAGTAAATAACCTCCTCATACAAACGACTAGGGCATAGTCCTGTTTGTCAGGTCATCCAGTAGTGAGCACAATAAACTATATAAATATTAAAAATCTAAAAATCACTAAAAATAAGGACTCATCAAATCAGTAAAAACAACATAAAATCTTCAATCATCCTCAGTAGAAGAGAGCCAGCTTTGTGCCCATCTCTTAGGCAGTCGTCCGGTTAATCTTTTCCCTGAGGGTTGTCCGGTCGTACAAATTTTTGCTAGTCTCTCTTCATCCATTCGGTCAACGTGCTTTGGTCACATCCTCCCTCACACTGGTCCACTTGACTACATTTTGCACCCTGGTAGCATGCCTGATGGAGTCGTTGGTCCGCCAATCCCAAAGTGTAAAACCCGCTATTTTTCCTGGAACTTTTATCTCAACTGTGCAAAATTGTTATTTGGCAGGCTTTGTTCCAGCCCTAGTATCTGCAGCAAACGTTAACTTTGGCCTAACGATGGTCTTGTAAACCCTGACTTTACTCTCCCGGATCATAAACTTATTGCGCCACACCATTACATTGAGACAATCAGCAACTCTTGCCGCCTACTGTGCCTGGTCTTGCACTTCAGACCACAAGCCCTTGAATAATTAAATCAAGTCCAAATAATCTCATGACCCTCGAAAGATTAAAAAATATACTTACAAAATCTGTTAAGGCATTGGGAGCATCACGCCTGTATCGTCTTGTATGAGCTGCATCACTCATGACAGTTGCCACAGCAACCTGGAAAAAAGATGACATTGTTAGTGTTGTTATTAAAACAGTTTGATGAGGTCGAATTTATGCACTTTTAAATAGAATAATAAGAAGAATTAGGGAGAAATTCATGCCTGTTTTTCTCCTTTTGCAATTAAATCGCGTGAATCTCAATATTAAAGAACATGAAAATAAAAAGTTAAAGATAAAATAATCGTTTGATCGTCCTTTCAACTCTCCTTGCCAACAACTGTTCATCAAGAAGGGGCTGCTCACCCTCCCTTCTATTCATATTTTTGAGAGCATTAAATTCTCTGCCCTATCTTTATAAACTTATTGTGCCTGAGGATCTTCTTCCAGCTAAAGTTGGTTTTTCCATGGCGATGCATCAAGTCAAGTTCTGGTTTACGCAAATGTTTAATGCCCTCCCTTGAGAGATTAAAATTCTCTATATTTCGTCTTTCGAATCATATTCCTGACCTGCCTCCATGAGTTTCTTCTTTCTAGAGCCTTTTACTTGGTTAATGAGCTGTTGGAGGGTTTAAAAATAGTGTCTCCTCCACAACTGAATAGCTGTTCGCCAGCCTCCTATCTTTTACTTCATCCTGTTATCAGCAACTCCCTAGTCTTCCCATTCCACTTTTTTTATTTTTCCTGTGCTGACTTGTACCACAGCCCAACAAAGCTTTTATGTTCAAATAGACAATGCGATGTAATGCAATAAAAGTTGGGTTTAGTGGATAGAATTCGCTTATTTATTTAATACTTTCTTGTTTCAGATACATTGATCTAATGGCGCTTACTTGTAAGAAAGCGAATAGATCTTAAATGAACACAACAGAATTTCTGAATGGCACTAATAAACCCTGTTTCAAACTCGAAAATGAATAAGAAAATATTTTGTTTAAAATTGTTCTTTTTTTCTTTTGTCTAGCCAATTCTTCTTTCAGTTTACATTGAATAATCGAGATTAAAATTAATTTACACAAGATAACGAGTCAAGACAAAAAAAGAAGTGATAAAGATTGACCGCAAGAGGTCTGTTCAAAAGATGGAAATCAGAAGATCAAGAAAGAGATTTCAAAAGGTCTTTTGGAAAACGGTGAAACTACCAGACCACATAACTTGTTTTCGACGTTTAAAAATCTCCACTCCCATTTTATTTTTTTGAAGGAGAACAAATTTATATCATTTCTTGAGGTTGTCACATATTTCCTTTCGCACCGAGAGGAAAAATCATGGAAGTTTTCAAGAATTGATATGGAGTAGTTTTACATTAAGAGAATAAAGTGTGATAATGTCTGCAACGTCTAAAACCAAGATACGCAGTCTAGTTGAGTCACCATTGATTCGTTCATCGCTATTAGCTTTGATTAATTGAAATAATAGAGTAGAAGTTTAGGAAGGATTATTTTGCAAGAATTTTATTTGACAGAAAGAATAATCGAAGCAAAGGAGAAGGAAACTACAAAATCATTACAGGTACTATATAGGTTACTATAAGTAGTACTATAAGTTGTGAAATACACGACACCATGGCTAAAATAAAACAAATGCACAACTCAGATTGCAACAATGAAACTTACATTGTAAGACTCCCCTTCAGTTTTATTCTTTTGAAGGATAACTACCCAATAGTTTCTGTTGAAATTTGTTTTTTATTTTCTAAACTTATTCTGCAAGGAAACATTCGAAAAAGAAAAAAAAACAGAATTTTAAACGTTGCAATATTTTGAGCTATGCATATTTTGCATTTAGCTATCAATGATATTTATCAAAACTAAAAATCTTTTAAATTGGTGCTTTTAGCCCTGAAATTGAGGCAAGAGTCACCAGATTAAGAAACAAGGCAGAGAATAAAAATAAATGGTGACTCGAACAAATTACCTTCCCGCTGTAAATTTCTTCGAATACATCTGTTATTTGCACCAACACATCAGCTAACAATCGCTTGGCTTCATGGACAGGTTTGGATTCAGAACCATATTTGTCAGCCAGAGGGTGCAGGCCGGGGACAACGATCCAGAAAATATCCGGGACTCCGTTTGGACTTATTTTTTCTGTTACCTGAAATGAAAGAACATTTGTGCAAATTTTACGCAGAGGTAAGGGTGTTCTAACAAAGAGACCCTCCAAGGGTTGAAAGAACCCTCTATAGAGACGTACACACTTATTTTGACTGATAGGGCAATAATTTTTCAAGGAATAGTACCGTGAGAGATATAAGTAATACATGAGGCTAAAATTGAAAGTTCATTACATCAATTCTTCTTGAAAAGCAGGTTTTTACAAAAAGTTAATTTTCAATTAATGTTTTGTATCTTATAAAAGAAGCCAAAGCTAATGCTAAAGAAAAGAATAGGAGTTTCTAAAGAGACAACTTATGATGATGACGAAATGAAAAAAAATTCGTTTTTTCAACAATCTTAATAAAACAAAAATGGGGTTATAAAAATCTAATTTTGAGTTGTAGAGATAGTAGCTCAGGTTTGTTCCATTATGCTATCCCTTGCATGAGGGAACATACCTCGATTGCACTGTATCAGTATTTTTTCTTACTTAATTTTATTTGTCTCCGGAAAACTTTCACTTGTATTTTGCTGAGGATTTTTCTTTACCCTTGTGAGAAAAGATTTTGAAAGTTTCATACTAATTTGTGCTACAATGCTCCCATTAAAAATGAAAATGTTGGTTGGAATACTGAGACTGTGAAGACAAGATACATACGACGATATTTCGTAATAACGATTTCTGTCAAGAATTTTTCTACAGACTCCAAGATGCTTTTTTCATCAAAAATTTTTCATCATGAGAGAGAAAAATTAAAAATCACTTTTATATGTACTTGCCACGAAAAAAGCAATGTGCCTATCCTTAGAAAAGAAAACCCAAGTGATAAAACACTCATCATTAAAGTATTAGTATTGGTGCCACTGCATAAAGGAGTGTTCAAGAGCATATTGGTTAAAAAAAACCACCAATATAATAATTTGGGGTATAAATATAAAACTAAGGCTTATAACTATTAGCTTGCCTTGCATACTGCCTCTTTCTAATAACTTGTTATTTATGCTTAAAAAATTTAATTTCGTTGTTGTTCATACCTGCTACAATAATTTATCATTTCTGTTGTCTTCTTTGAAATATGAAAGACCAACCCTCCAATGTTCATGGGTAGCTTACCACATTAATTGTTTGAATTGTAATACCATTAGTGTAGGAAATTTGCATCAATACCTTGCATAGATGCATTACAGTTTTAGCCTTTTTTCCATTGAAAATGCCAGAAATTTTTGGCTATTATTTTAAATTCACTTTTAATAACAGAACTAACTTAAAGTGGCTTGAAGTTTACAGGTCAAAAAACAGTCTAATCTGAGTCTAATGAAAAAAGCAATTTAAAGTTTTAACCTGTGTGGGGAACAAGTCCCGCCTCTGTGTTCCCTACGTATCAGAAATACCCTCAGGATTGTCGCGATACCGCAATGCGTAGCGTAGACTGAGGTATTTCTGATAGGGATGGAGAAAAGGACTTTTCAGGAAGAGGTGGTGGCTGCGAGAGGTGATGAAAGGAAAAACAAAGATTTTCCTTCTGACGAATTGGACAGGTCACCCTTGAGAGGAGAGAAAAACGGGGCGAAAGCGCAGGCGATGCCACAGCCCCCTTCGGCACGAATTTCCAAAACACTCTGTCCGAACTCTCTCGACCCCGCGATGCGGCGTCCGCCGATCGCGAATCCTCGCTAGTACGCGCATGCGCTGTTCGTGGTGTGTATCAGCGAAAAAAGACGGAGAGCAGCGTTGTCGAACATCCTCCTAAAATCGAAAGATTTTATGACGGATATTCGGAAACGAATACTTCTCCGACACCTGCTAGGTTTAGGACTAAAAATTATTGGTTTAAACTGAAACTTTAAATTATTCAAGTTGGCTGGATTCATAACTTTATCAGGTGTTTGTTAACTTATTGTTTTACTCACTTTTTAATCTTCGGTCCTGATTTCTTACTCTTCTTCTAACTTGACTATGACGTCATCGCGCGCTGATAACACGATATTACGTATTTTACTTTTACTTTATTTTTTTTTATCGACAAGTTCGCATGTTCGCGACCGCCACGACCTGAAGATGGACCAGTAAGGGCCTGAAATGACGTCATAGTCAAGTTAGAAGAAGAGTAAGAAATCAGGACCGAAGATTAGAAAGTGAGTAAAACAATAAGTTTACATTGTTCAATGACACGAAAAAGATTGCAGTCCCTCTTAGCTCACTGCTCTAGATACTGCAGCCCAATTATCAAAACTATGTCAGCATGACAAGACAAGATACACCCCTATCTTGTTCATACAATATATTGCATTTTAATGTCCTATCAGGGTGCTTGGAACTTTTAATGATCTACTCACTGGGCAGCAAGTTCTGTACAAGAATCAATTTCCTTAACGATTTGCCACTGGGCAATAAGGTCTTTTTTCTAACGGACAATGACACCATTCCTAGGCAATAGTGACTATTAATGCATTAATGGATGAATGAAAAGCATTTTAGGTAAATTTTACAAACTTACTGTATTCGGAATGGCTTTCAGGTATTTAACTTGGTTGAGAAATGCTTGGTCTACCTCTACATCAGGATTCAGGTACTTCAGTTTGTAGTCAACACTTTTCGCAGGTGTTAGATCGGCAAAAAGCTTCTCGGATTCTTCAACCTGTAAGATCAGTCAGCAAATCGTTGATGAAAAAGAGGTAATACTTACAGGATTCCTAAAAAAATGTAAGAATATATTCAGGGTATCCACAAACTTGGAGGAGAAAAATTCCTTGACTTTTCTAGGATACACCAGACCAAAATCTTTTACAATTTGCTTGCGAGAATGAGCGCTTTCATTGCAAATGCATACTTAGAGGAGCTAACCTTTTTTCTTCTAGTATTAGTCATTCAATCAACTAAAATTGCAATTTCATATTGAAATTATTCCAGACTAAAATTGCAATTATTCCAATCACTAGTCAAAGTGTAACTTAGAGCATTGAACTTTGAACCAGATAAGGCCCAAGTTCGTATGTGTGGACAGCATTAATGTTTTTTCAGATTTCAAGTTACAAGATTTTTTAGTCTCTTTCAGCGCAGCTTCCAGACAGACATAGCAATAGCTCCTCATTTTTATTAGAAAACAGGCATGAGAAGGTCGTAAAATTCACTTTTCTCAGCTCCACATTTCTCGACATGTACACATGATAAGTTAAATTTCAAGGACTTATCATGCTCAAGATGCTGTGAGGAACGTCGATATATTTAAAAAAAACTAATATTTAACCAGCGCCATATATCTTCTGTATGTATCCTCCATACATCTTTCAGTCCATGCATTGTCCTTTTGAAGGTTATTTTAAAACTGTTACTTAGAAACTATTAGACCTCATTTGCAGCAACTTTAGTACCAAGTTTGTTAGGATTGAGAGTTTTTCTTTGACTTCATCCCAGTTTTAAAATTAATTGTACTTAGTGGAACAAGTAAAAACCATAGCTTAGTTTATGCAAAAAAGTTCAAAGTTTATTGGTATTCAAGTTAGTTTCCAGGTTGTTAGTTAGTTTGTAAGGATTCAGAGTAATTTTTCCACCTTAAAAGTATTTTTTGGCATAACACTAACTCTCAAAGAGTGTCAAAACTTTTGATTGAGGTTGTAGCAGCAATTCAACATCCACTTCAATGAAGAGAATAGGTATTTGTAGGTACATACTAAGAACAATGAAAGTAAATTAAAATACCTGAAACTCATCTTCATCACCAAGGGTAACTTTGCTGAAAGTCTGATTTTGACCGGCAAAGCGGAGTTCTACATTCATGAACATCTTGTGCCAAGTCTCATCAAGTGGCTCATCCGTTTCCAGGCTAAAACGGTGTCCCTGATCGCTGTCAATTCCAGATATGCCCGGCAACACCACACACACAGCTGCTTCCGCAAACTTAAATGGAGTTATCACTGACATTCCGGACCAGTCACTTGTCTGCAAAAGTTAACATCAAATGTTAAGAAACAATCAGTTACCTGAAGCAATTTTTACAATTACCAAGAAATTTCGATAGTTGAACTCTGAAAACTTGTACCTCAAAATACAATATGGCAAATTCTTTTACTTCCTTCATTTTTTAAAAGCAGAGCAAATCATTATTAGTTGTTGCAATTTCTTCGAATTTTTCTATGTATATTCAGTCCTGATTACTGGCACCATAAAAACTTTTATATTAGCATCCTCTTGAGGATATGTGCTTTGCAGTGACGTTAAGCAATTTTTACAATATGAAATCCTGACTGAAAGAAATGTGGCAAAACATGGCATGTTTTGAGGTAGCCGCACCAGAGATGCCATCTTTTCTCATTTTCTTAGAGTTTTGAAGATGGTTCCACCGCAAACAGTAGAGCTATTGAGGTTTTCTTCTAATTGGATCACATTTAGCAAAAAGGAACCGGCGCGATTACCGTATTTTAAAAAATCGTGCAATTCCTTCTTTTCCAATAAACTACGCGATATATTTACAGTATTCAAATACACAATTATTTTCCTTTAAAATTAACAATTTTTTGGTGGGAAGCACTTGCTGTATTTGCTACTTTGGGTGATTTTTTGGATAAATATAAAGAAGCAACATTTTAACAACACTGTGATCGTGCTGGTTCCTTGTTGCTAAATGCGATCCAATTGTTCTTCCAAAGTGTTTGTCCCAATATGATAGTATTCAACTCACCTGCCGGACTGAGAAGCCTTGTATCCTAGCCAACACATCTGACAGTAAGCTGAGCTTGAACTGCTCGTGACCTCGGAATTCAATGGAATCTGGAGAGTGAAGGAAAAGCACTTCGCCAGCTCCAAACACTGAGGAGAAAAAAACAAAAACAAAGGCATAAAATAAGATATTTATTGACACTAAATACATTGATTCATAGACGTGCATTCTGTGTTTGCAACTTGTTCGGCTTGTTAAGAATAAATATTAATGGACAAGAATTGGCCAACTAAGTTTGTAAAACCATAAGTATGTACAACCCCCGAGCTTGCTTCAAATTAATCTTGATTGATGGTTGCAATTTTTCCTACCTAAACAGACTTAATCTTGAGTTAGAAAAAAGCTTGAATAAGGGATAAGTTGAAAATAAGGATTTTTTAAAATTTTTTTTAAAATCTATTTCAAATAGCCTATTGGCTAATCCCACGCTTATTACCCCAGACCCAGGTGACCATGGCCTGAGACCATCAAACTCAGATTACCTGGCCGGAAAATTACCCAGAGGATCTCTTGGTCATTGAGCCAGCGCTACAACCACTACACCACAGAAGGCCGACAGGACGATCAAATCCAATTTTTAACAGACACTCGCTTTTCCCCGTAAGCTATCATTTTCCTCCCATTCCTTCAAAGACATATTTTAAACAATCTTTCAACAATGTAAAAGGAAGAAACACCATTAAAATTGGTTAAAAATTTAAAAATGGATGTTCCCCAGACAAGACATTAGTTGCTCACAAAAATTTAGTAGCAAGGTCAGCGCTCACTGAAAAGCCGCCAGAGGTGTGCGTTCTTCATATTCACATACTTCTTTGCATTATGGCAAGGCTGTTTAATGAAAACTAGGGGGAAAAAATTTTGTTCGCTTATGGACTTGAAGTTAACCTAGAATTTGTACCCGCCTTGAACCTTTCAGTAAACTAGTACAGCATGACAACACCTGGGTAGAAGAAATTGATACAGCCTCATCAAAGTCTCAAGTTCAGATTTGGCGCATTGGTCTTAATGAGACCGATTAATCGGTCATCTAATCAGTGTTGTTAAGATCTGTGAAAAATTAAAATTCACACTGATATTTCAGTTAAATTATCGATCTGTTAGGGTAAAGCGCAATGGTGACCAAGACTGTTTGGACCATTCGTACCCCTAATTACACCAGCGGATTTGCAGCTGATATTGCTGTAGATTAATAATCTAAAACGTTCTTGCATTGTGGATAATAAGTTTGATTGTGGAATCATAAAAAGAGAACGTAAGGTAGAGGAGAGCAATGAGTGATAACAAGTTGATAAGATATGCCTGTGGTTTCATTGCTTACCTGAGATGAATACGGAGAAAAGCCACAGCAACGCACCCTTCATCTTCGAATTATTATTTCTCCTCTAAAACCTTAAAACAGTTGGGATTTGGAACGATAAGCTAAAATTTGTAGACAGAACCACCCAATTTCCAATCACTTGCAACCCAGAAAACACCCTAAAATAAGAGTCAGGTGACAGCTTTGTTGTTGTGGTGAACGGTGAATTAAGTTGCTGATAACCTAAAAATTGAATTTCTTATCAGTGCAAATTTGCGAGTTGGCGTGGTTGACTGCCTTATTTTCCATTTTTTGCGTGTTTTCCCTATTTGCAAATTATCGGCGCAATCACACGTCACTTGTAGTGTGTTTCGAATGCAAGTGTTCTTTTTCTGTGTCATTTGAGCTTTTAAAGTACACCCCTGTCTAATTGTCAGTTTCACTCCGAAGAATGCTTTGCCTGTCACAAGCCACTGAAACTGAATTGCTCTTGCCGCTTGATTGACAGAAAGTCTCCTGTTTATTTAGCCGTATTTTATGATGTTAAGATTTAGAGGTAAAAAAATCTTGAAAACTTTGAGGGAGCTTGATGTGTTTCCGAAAGTTAATAACACTTATGTTAGATCGTCGAAAATAGGAGGTTTAAGTAAGTATAGACTATCATCTGGTATTCGTATTTTATCTACTAAGTGAACAGTGTTTTTTTTTTTTTTTTTTTTTAATTTCCCTTGAACACGGAAAAATTGAACCAATTTCATATGATTCTTCCTACATTTTTTAATTCTGCTACCGGCGGCACCATTTTATCAGATCAACAAAGCAGCACTGTCGATATGTCTACGTTGGGGAGGTATTTCTGGAGTCGGGTAATGGTCCGGTTGCCATCACTACATTAGATGATTCCATAAAAAATGTAGGCAAATAGGCAGATTCACTCAGTGTATGTAATTCAATATTTGATATATTCCATGGTTCCACCTAAAACCAATGGGCAGTTGCGATAGTCATCGCTTGACTGCACTGTTTTAGGACAGCACTATATAGTGACAACATATTGGAGAACATAACTTCTGATCAGTGCATTTTACAGGTTCTCACCCTCAACTGATGATGCATCTGATAAAACAGAAATAGATCGCGTTTAGCCAAAAGGAACGAGCGCGATTACCATATTTTCAAAATTGTGCAATTCCTCCTTTTCTCTTAAAAATACACATCGTAAATGTACGGTATTAAAATTTAAACATTTATTTTCCTTCAAAATTAACTATTCATTGTTGGGAACCCATAACTATTTTCAATTCTTGGTAGGAGATTTTTTTGATAATTATCAAGAAGCAACATTTTTACAACACTGTAATGGCGCTGGTTCTTTCTGGCTGAGTGCGATCCAAATCTCATGTATTATTTTCACAAATGTTTTGGGAAATTTGAAGAATTGAAAGTGGGATTGATCTTTCAAGAACTGTATTACATTCAACAGGAGAATCAAGAGGAGGATTGTGGTAAATGTAGTAGTTTTATCAGTATTAGATCCTTTAACGATAGAAATGTGCTGACAAGTCATTTCTGGTTAGCCGAAGGTATACCTTGATCCCATACTGCCACCTAAATACTGCTATATTCTTACACAGCTGCTATCATTGCAAACGGACAGCTCCATTGTAACTTAATGAGCTTTGAGTCTAATCATAGTTTCCTCGTGTGTTAATTCCTGGACTACTTGGCCTTGAATCTAATAAACACAACAACACCACATTTTTGAAAGCTCCAAAAACTCTGATCTGATTTATTGTATTTGTTTTTAAATGTGAAATGTTCCATGATTCCACAGCCTTCAATCCTTCACAAGAACTCAAGTTGCTTCCTTGTGTAGACATTTTGACAACTATCTCTTATAATTTCTAATTTTTTGTTTTTTTTTTCTTGCTATTCCAGTTTCTATCATTGCAACAATCATTGTTGTATGGTTGACAATAGCCGAAATTCGTTACCATATGCAATCAAAATTCAATTACAAGTTTGTACCTGACGTAGATTATGATACAAAGCTTTCAATCAATGTTGATCTAACGGTTGCCATGTCGTGTGTTAGTAAGTAAAATTCATCAATGTCAGTGCATCTATCAATTAAAGTATATTTGTTACCTATTAAAGGACCACTAAGACATATTTTCACATCTCCTGTGAATATAATAAGGATCAGTAATACTGGTGCTTTTGTACTGTCAAAAGTTTCAATTTTAGAACATACTTAACGCTAATTAAAATCACAGGAAGAACTTGGATTTAAGTATATTGATCCATTAAAATTAAGTTTCCATTACTTTGGTGCAAATTGTTTAGCATTGCTAACTGAAAATTTTACTGATTTTTCTTCCAGTTACAAGCCAAAGCCAGAAAGATTTTGGACAAAGTTCACTCTCATATTCCGTAATGAATTGAATTATTTCAGTCCATTTTGAATCCTTTCACTACTAAGAAAAATGAAAAATGGAAGAGCCTTAAAAATATAATGTTGCTTTGAATATTTTTGGTAAACGATGCTTTCAAAAGTCTATAATAGATTGGCAGTTATGTTTTTAGTTCTGGGGAAAAAAAGGAAATAGCCTAGCCTTGTTAGAGTATCACTAGTGAAACTCCCAAACCATGTGTCTCGGTTTGCAACGTTTCACACTTTCTGTCTTACTTTATTTTTTAAATGGAAAACTATTCAACGTCAATTTTTCAAAAACTCCATAATATTTGGACCGAGTTAAACAGAAAGGAACCAAGCCACATCGGGATTGAACCGAGAAAAAGAGGTTTAAAGTTTGGCTCCTGCATAAGACTCAATGTAAAAGATGAACTTCAAGTTCAATTTCTGCAAAATTTGCCCAACCAAAAACTTTAAATTTTTGGCGATAGATAATAGAGAAGTGGTTGAGTTCAAAACCTCTCATAACCCAATTTTTTCCAAAATGTGGGTTGGTTCCTTTCTGCTTAACTCAGTTCATTTCTTCTCTCTGGAAAGAAAATTTTGTGAAACCTTCAAGGAATGATTAATGCCCCTCGGAAAAAATAAAATGGGAGCGAGATTTCAAAACACTGCAAACGAGATTGATGGGTTGAGAGTATCACCGTGGATACCTATCCAGGTGAACTCAATTAAAAAATTCATTTGTCATGTTTGAAACTCATACCATAACTTGCATTACACCTCTACGAAAGCTGTAATTCTTCATTCATTCACCTTTTTTTAGATATTGGAGCTGATATAGTTGATTCAACAAGCCAGCCAATGTTCAAATTTGGAACTTTGGCCGAAGAGGACACATGGTTTGAACTAGATGAAGATCAGCAACGGTATTTTGATAATGTCAGACTCTATAATACACACCTCACAGAGTCCTATCACAGTCTCAAAGATCTTTTGTGGAAGTATGGTTATACTAAAGTTTATAAGGGAGTTCCTCCCAGGTGAGTAGAATTTTAAAATGAATACCAAAATTTGATAAAATTCTGTTACTCATGCTGTATCTTTCCTCCCGAAAAAAAAATTAATTCTAGCGGCCACTCTATGCAGGAAAGACAGAGAAAAAAAACTCCTTTCAAAGATAATCCTTTCTAAAAGAAATGTTGTGTCCTAACTTCACAAATTACCCACAAAATTAAGCTTTCTATGGTGAGGTTTGTATCAATATGGATTTAATGACTATGACAGAGCAGTCTGGTCAAATTAGCAGCAAAAATTTAATATTTTTCAAGTAATTCAGTATCCGTGGATGCTTTTTGATCAGTGCCTTCCGACACAAAAATTTTAATCTGGACTTTAAAAATATCAACCCTTCATCATCCTCTTTCATCATAATGCTGTATTTTTCAATTGGAATAAAATTTTTTCAGGAAAGTCAAACCCGAGAGGCCGACAGACGCTTGCAGAATTCACGGAACCATGATTCTTAACAAAGTTTCTGGAAATTTTCACATAACAGCCGGCAAATCCCTATCCCTCCCGAGTGGTCATATCCATATTTCTGCCTTCATGACTGATAATAAACATAATTTTAGTCATAGGATCGACAGACTATCCTTTGGTGAAGCGAGTCCTGGAATCATAAATCCTTTAGATGGAGATCACAAAGTCACAACACAGAGTAGGTTAATCTATTTTATTAGCTACGCCAAATACTTTCAGCTCCTTCTTTTAAGTCTAAAGGATGAATTTTTAAATTAGTTTCTTCCACCTGTTATCGCAGAAAATGTAAATTCGAGGTATTAAATGTAACCGAAAAAGTAGTAAGAAAGAAAAATGGACCTTGCAACTTGTACTCCTTTAAAAAGGTACCTCTCGTTAGCCTGTGGAAATCAACATTTTGAAATGATACTTAGTGAGCTGATAAAATTGAAAGAATGGACAGGCATTTTTAGAGTCTTGAGTTTACACAACATGCTGAAGAAATAAAATTTTACACTTATTTCTCGTCAAGAAGCCGTTTTATAAAAAAGAAAGAAGAAGAAAGAAAAGAAAGCAAAAGGTTTGCGATATTTTTGCTGCAATCAAGTGAATGTATCACATGTAATTAATGACACAGGAGAGCAATCGGAAAATTTGATTCATGCTAAAACATTGAATTGCACAATACCATCAACTGGAATTCATTTGAAGATGCATGAATTTATTTTTTTATGGAGTACTTAGTGTGTGCTCATCACTCTTTTTTGGTGACGTACTCTTTATTCACTTCTTCTGCCTGCAACAATAATTTGTTTACTCATTGTATTTTACCTCGTTACCCCTTGAGTAAATTGTTGTTACCCAACATTTAGTAGATCTGCAATGATTTTACGTGAACAGAAATGCCCAATCTCTAGGCTGTCATAAATTATGGACTCAAAAGATTGCAAACATTGGAATGAATGAATAGAGCTGACACTGAAAATTCTCCCTATGATGTATCGAAATTAATAAAAATAGGGTTTTTCACTCTACTTGTAATTTTCAACATTATTATTTTCATTATTTGTAGGTAATACCTTATACCAATACTTCATTGAGGTCGTGCCAACGGATGTACAAACATTTCAGTCACGAGTTCAAACCTACCAGTATTCTGTCAAGGAGTTGACCAGATTGATTGATCACGATGCTGGATCTCATGGAGTCTCAGGTATATTCTTCAAGTATGATACGAGTGCTCTAAAAGTCATCGTGAAGGAAGATTACGACTCCTTCTTGAGGTTTTTCATCAGGTTAGTGGCAACCATTGCTGGGATCCTAATTGTCTTTGGCATTCTGAAAGAAGTTATCGAGCATTTCTTTGGTTCCTACCTCTCTGAGCCGGACCAAGCGCCTCGGCTGGACAATGAGAAAGTAGTCAAGATAATTGAAGTTCCTCCACCTGTTGCATCACTTATTCCAGAGAGTGTTGTCTCGTAAAATTAAAAAAAAAAAGTAACTCAAATGTGAATGTCTTGACAACTTTAAATACTTCAGATTCTGTTCTGTATCTTAAGTCTGTCTGTGAACATTGTCTCATAGAATTTTTTCCTCATAATTTTCCATGCACCAGAAAAGTTTTCAGGTCTGCCAGTAGTTTATTATTTTTGTTGAAAAATGATAAGCACATTTGTGTATTTTTTCTCTACTGAATTTGAATCTCATAAGAATTATTCATTATGTAACTGAATTCGAAGATTACTCCTCATTCTGCTGTCATTTGTAATTTTATCTACCTTGACAATGTTGGATAGATAGTTCTCTTTTCTTCTTATGTGCTAGTGTTGGCACAATTTTCAAATTTTTCACCGTCAATATGTATTTCTTAACTGACTTGTTAAAGCTGAATTATTGGTATTTAAAGTTGAAGATACGATCCTTGAAGGTTGCTTTACGTGTTGTCTCTCTTTTTTCTAAGGGGTAAGGATGTTAGTTTTTCATGTTAGGCTGGAGTTAAAAAAAATTGTCTTTGTTAATTAAGAAACTTTGCTTAGATGTAGATAAAGGGTTGACTGGATAATCGATGATCTTTGATCACCAAAAGCACTGACAGCTTTTTGATTATCCAGCCTGATAAAAACACAACAGCAGCATTAACAGATACGATCAATCTATCTCGTGACTTAATTTCAGCATAGGGTCATTCTTAAATTCTAAATTTACCTTTGTTAACTCTCTCCCGTTACCAATTCTCTTTACTATTTTATAATTTTTGGCCAGATCTTCCCAAAATAGTAATCATATGCTAACTCAGACTGACCTCTTGCTCCCCAATTAGCAATTTTCTTCAAAAAAAAAAAAAAAAGAAAGAAAGAAAGAAAGGAAAAGCTTTTACTTTATTGGAAGGATTGGGATATCTATTTGATGAAGCAAAGTAAAATTTTTTCAGTTAATGGGATACATTTTTCACAAACCTGGAAATTAATACCGTCCCATCAAAACCGCTCTAAACAGTAGGAAAAAAAGCTCTTCGAAAATTTAAGAATAACTGTTTAAATTTGTTCTGCAATGTCTTGCCAAATGTCACTTTCTTACCCAGTAAAGCTTTATAACAGTGGCAGAGACCGCCTTTTAGTTTAATCAAGTCCCACCAGTATCATTGGCTTAGAAGAATTTACAACAATCCATGCCACTGAACATTGTCATCATCTCTTTTCAAGTTTGATTTTTGTGAAAACACTTGGGAATTTTGTTTCAAGATCTGAATTCATACTGATTCAGTATTAAGTTTTGTCGCAAGTCGGTAATCTTTTAAGAGTGTGCTCTAATCTAATTAATTTTAAGTGAAACTGTGTAAATTGACATTATGTATTTTAATGTACATATGTATAACAGTTTGAGTCTGTGATAATTTATGTTTTAATAAAATTTCGTTTTCTTAACCTCTTGTGCTTTTTAGTTGTGCAGTGAAGCTGTACAGACTTTTATGTTTCGTCGGAGGCTTCCCAAAAAGTGTCCATACTTTTAGACTTAGTTCCTTCTTATGAAAATTTAGGCTTTAAGTCCATCCTCTGATAATGTAGGGACTGATAAAGACTTTGAACCAAGCAAGGGGAATGGAAATTGATCCTTATGGGAGAATGTTAAAACATTGAACTATAACTTAAACTTTTAAGAATCCATACTTTTTCGGCTCAATTTTGCCAAATGGAATTCTTCATCATTGAAGTCATGCTTGACTTGTGTATATTGATTAATCACCATCTTTGGAAAATTCAGGGCTAGGCATGCCCTGAGTTAAATAATACTTAAAACTACTTGAAAAAACACGATTATTTCCAAAAATTTAAGCCTTCATGGAGAAGAATAGAATGGCACTGAGCACTGGAATCTGCACCTCAGCATATGCGGCGGATGATGATTTTGCTTTACCTTTCCAATCCGCACTTGGGCACAGCCGGCGACTGTCCTCAGCACATTCCTCCTGTACTTTCACACATACTTCCTCCACTAGGCGATATATTTTCCTGCACTCCACCACATCCAGTGGACGTTAAAGCAATGTTGGTGCTCAGCACGCTTCTATTTTTCTCCGTGTTAAGTCCATCTTCCGTTAATCTAGGGTACTGACGAAGACTTTGAACCAAGCAAAGAGAATGAAAATTGAATCTCCTGAGAGAATTTCTTAACATTGAAACATGAATTTAACTTTCAAGAACCCATATTGATGCCTTTGTGCTCAATTTTGCTATTGAAGTCATGGTTGAGTTGACTATTTTAATTAATTACCACGTATGGAAAATTTTGGCTTCAGCATCAAATATTTAGTCTCAAAAAAATAACTTAAAGCATTACTGCACCGATCAAAATCCAGCCAAAGAAAATAATCTAGCTAAGAAGGGGGTAAAAGTTGAGATGCACAAGTCTCAAAACAAGAATACCTAGCTGTGATTGGACACAACTTTGCTTTCATTAAGGCTTATACACTTTTTGAATGAAAACAGTAAGCATGAAATAAAACCCTGCATTGTGGCCGCAGTAACCTAAGTGATTCGAACCTGGGTCACTGCGACCACAATGTAGAGTCTTATTTCATGATTGCTATTTTTCATTCAAAAAATGTATAAGCCTTAGTGAGAGTAAAGTTATGTTCAATCACAGCTCGGTATTTTTGTTTTGAGACTACGCATCTCAACATTTCCCATTTTTTAGCCAATTTCTTTTTTCAGTTTCATGACATTCCGTTCACGATTTTTTATCTGCACACCTGTTTTGTAGTTGTTTACATACTCGTGTAAATTGAGCAACAGTGACTTCGTTCAAGCGTTATATTTTAGTCCATGTGTGAAATTATATTGACAAAATCGAAATGAGAAAATTGAGAGGGACGGAGGTATTGCTATGGTAACTCATTTTTTAAATGAAATGTTACTTTTTTTTAAATGATCTTTTAAAATTTTGGTTGGTGAATATTTGGTTCTATTTCTATCCTTAAAATTTTCTTTATAAAATATATATATGTACTTTTTTTTTTTTTTTGAATGAAAATATTACATCATTTTAAAAAAAATTACATTAATGCATGGCAAATATTTGCAAAACCTTTACCAAGTGACGGCATCGATATTAATCTCAATAAGCCGTAGTTGTGTTGAAAGAAACTATACAAATATGAATAAAAGAGGAAAGAAAACCAAAGAAGCACGTAATTTTTGGTTCTAACCAAATTGCCAAATTGTACGTCGATCTTTTAGATTCAAATACGTCCAATTCTGAGCGGTTGCTTGCGCTTACACCATGCTGCAGCACAGTATAAACACAAAATATAAAAGAAAACATTGAAGTGGTCTGGAAATTATTAAATTTGACACAGAACCACCTTAGTATTTACAAAACACACATTTTATTTTCCTTTAATACTTTTTTTTTTCATCAATTTAAATGAAAATAAGCCATGCAGAGTGTGCAAACGTTTCAAAATCATGAGTTGAAAAACGCTGATTCTGCGAGTTCAAATACTAGAGCGTAAGTCGTAACCCAGCGAGCGGCGCGGTGCCGCGCGAAGCGAAACGCGCCTTCAAACTCAACAGTGATACTTCACGCATTGCGCAATGGTTGAAGTATCACAGTTGGGTTTGTAGGCGCCATGCGCTGGCCGGTCGCCCGCCGCGAAGCAGCGTACCACGGGGTCTCAAGCAACTATTTCACAACAGACGTGTTGCACAGTATCATACGAAATTGAAGGCGCTCCAACATATTAAGAATGACAGGTATCGCACGGAGCTTTCCTCGCAAAATAAATCAAGATAAGTACTACGGCACGCAAAAAGAGAGCGGTAGTCCAAAAACTCACTAAGTCCCAGAATCCGTATTTTCTGCGAAAAAATAGTCATACAAAGGAAAAAATTTTGCAGCTTTTGAAAATTTTAGGGTGAGTTTACAACTACCTACCTTGATATTTGGCAAAATCAATTTTTCCCTCCATACTTTTGATCGTTAATAAAAGATATTATTTGATACAACTGTTATGAGTACATAAATATTGTTCAATAATGATAATTGCGCCCAAGTGGCTTAAGCGACCAACTACTACTTACTACCCCTTAAACGTAATACTTAAACGACCCCGTCCCCTTAATTTGTAGTTAAATTTTCGTTGTGAAATATTTATTAACTAGGGGCCTGAGGCCACTACGCGGCCGCTAAACACTGAAAGGGAACTGCTCGTAAGAAATCATTGAACAACCACGTTCAAGTTATTTATTATAATTGAATAGCAACTTGAATTGACAATAAATTTTGAAAGAAGATATAACATGCTCTGAAATTTTTGAAGTTGAAATTGGAATTTTGAATTTATCATCATTTAATAACAATTTAAATTTTTAATCTGGAAAAATTAAATTATTCCGGAAAATAATTTCAGACTTTTAAATGTGAAGTGCCAGTAAATGCCTTGCATTTCAAAAAAGAGGAGGTGAACGCTTGAACGGTCATTTTAATAGATGTTGTCAAAATGGTCTTCTCAGACTTGCCGAGCCTGATATCAAAGACCAACTTCGCGACCTCTTCTCCAAACCCATTTTCATGACCAACATTTTGAGGTACAACAGTTATGTGGCTTTTGCATCTCTGTCTGCTTCCAAACCTCATATAATTTTGAAAAAAATCTTCTGCTATCGAATACGAAAAATCGCGGAGAATTAAAGTTTTATGTTGACCAGCTTCTCGAAAGAAAAATAAAATTTCAGAGGAAGTCTGCAACGTCGCAAAAGGAGAAACGTCGTCTCTCATTTTGCCCAAAAATATGTATGTATAAAATTGAAGGCATTATGACTGGCCTCTCTCAACTTATATTCGTATGTAACGATCAACAATGGGACGCGTTTGCTACGGCGCCTTGATACAACTATACAACCTCGAAGGATGTCCGTATTGCGTTCAAAAAATTGAAGGCGTTTTGACCTCCTACGCATAATACCTGTAGTTGATTCGATCGACAAACGCGTTGGTCGGCGGTGACGGGGACTTGATGCATTTTTTAAACTTGACGGATGTCCGTATCGCACCGACTAAAGTGCGAAACCACGTATCTCCATTGCGCTGTTTCAAAATTTCCGTTCTTAATTCATCTCTGCCATGAGAAACAATCCAAATTTACGACTTTAAATGAACCAAATCTTCTGCTAACTAATACCTACGAAAACTCGTGGAGAATTAAAGTTTTATGTTGAAAAGCTTCTCGAAAGAAAAATAAAATTTCAGAGGAAGTCTGCAACGTCGCAAATGGAGAAACGTCGTCTCTCATTTTGCCCAATAATATGTATGCATAAAATTGAAGGCATTATGACTGGCCTCTCTCAACTTATATTCGTATGTAACGATTAACAATGGGACGCGTTTGCTACGGCGCCTTGATACAACTATACAACCTCGACGGATGACCGTATTGCGTTCAAAAAATTGAAGGCGTTTTGACCTCCTACGCATGATACCTGTAGTTGATTCGATCGACAAACGTGTTGGTCGGCGTTGACGGGGACTTGATGCATTTTTTAAACTTGATGGATGTCCGCATCACACTGACTGAAGTGCGAAACCACGTATCTCCATCGCAATGTTGCAAATTTTCCGTTATTAATTTATCTCTTCAATGAGAAACAATCCAAATTTACGACTTTAAATTTTGAACCAAATCTGAATTTTGATGCAAAGAAAAGGCGGGAGGATGGCTAGTGGAAGTGGAGCGGCGAGCTCTGCGTGCAAGCACGGTCAAGGCAGGAATGATTTCATTGGCTCCTGGAATTTTGCTCGGCGGAGCTTCGACTACGCAGCGAGCCAATGAGGAGTGGTGTTCGCGCGGGAAAATTCAAAAAAATGGTTTTTTCCCTCGTTCATATTTCCCGCTCGCGATTAATTTTTGCGCGGGAAGCGGATGTTAACTGAGAGCCAGTAAAAATGAAGGGAGGAGCTACATAGATAGTAGCGCGCTTAGTTATTGGTGCTCGCATAAATGCGGAAGCTGGTTTAATTTAATCCTGAATAATTTTGTTTCGTAATTTTAGAAGGATTTTAATTTTCTTTAAGGGGGAAATAAAGCGGAGGTAAAATTTTGAGGTGCACTAATTTTTTATTTGAGATTTTATTTGGATCAATGCAAATTTATTTAGGTTCTTTTTTTATTCGCCACAGTGAGCGAAGAAAACTCAAAACACTTGCGTGAAGAGAGCATTCGGTGAGTGGAGAAGGTGTTTCAACTTCAAAGTGCTATACTAATCTTTCCTAGTTTTTAATTGACGTGATTTTTAATTACGTGATTTTTAATTGCCGTGATTTTTATTCGCCATGGTGAGCGAAAAAAACCTTGAATAAACTTTCGCGAGAAAGATTCCAGGAAGAAAGGAGGGGCGGAAAAAAGGTGTTTCCACCTTTTCCCCAGTTT